GCTCATGCTGGCGCGCGCGATGCGTCTTACAGGCGGAAGCCAAGCGGGCTCTGCATTTCATGTCGGTGTTCTTGTGCTTCCGATGGTGCGCGGTTGAGCTGCGCTCTGCCATTCGTTGAACTGGAAGTTGGGCAGCACCGCGCCGCGGCGACTTTCCTGGGCGAGATTTCGCAACGCAGCAGGAGGGATTCCGACGGCTGGATCACTGGGCGCAAGGAGTTCCCCATGCTGGAACTTAGCATGCGCTGAATTCCGCACTTTGAGAAGATGACTGCTGGCGCCGCCCAGTTCGCAAACGAACGTGCCGAGAAAGCCCCCAATGCCAAGCGTGCAAAATGGCACAGCAATCTGTCAGCAAAGGTGAGGGCATTGCGCGCGGGGCGGCCAAGGTTAAGGACATGCAGTGCGTGGCTGGACACTCGCGGGGATTACAACTTGCAGGCGACGCCGCAGGCTACGCGCGATCGCAAGATGGATGCGCGGCGTCGGACTTGGGGGCATCACGTTGCGGAGCCGCCGCAGACGCCGATGGGCCTCGAGGGATGGCCCGCGCTACCCGACGTCAGCGCTGGCTTGATGAAGGACGCGATTCCTGCGTCCCAATGAAGGCCCCCCCCTGGCACGACTGCCATGCGGGCGATTACTCGCGTTTCGGACACAGGGCTGCCTGCGCTGGCCAAGGTTTTCTAGAAGTGCGAGGCGCTGGGAGGGTGGCCCCAGCAGAAGCAGGGGGACGAGATGGCACGCCTCCCGGAACTCTCAGGCGGCAACGGGCTCATCGCCCTCATGGACTCGCATTCCGGCCGTGGTCTCGGGCGCGCGTTCCCACGCGAAAGGTTGGCTGGCGCTGGGCCCATTCGGTCGATATTTGGGGGCTTGGGAAGTGCGAGATCACCCTCGGACGCCGCGTTCGCCCTGCTGGAAGCGCTGTTCCAAGAGGCCAGCGAGGTTGGGAATTATCTTCGTTTGCTTCCGATATTATGCCGGCGCTGCTGGCTTCCGCGCAGACTGTAAGCTCTCGGCTGTCAATTATGCCATCTGTGCATTTATAAACAGGTTGGCTGGCTGTTTTGGGATCGTGTTGGCGCTGCTCATCAGCCCTTCGGGCGCAGTGCGACGGCCTGGAGTTGCCCCTCGGGCGTCGATTGATGGCGTCTCTCTGTTGTTGGCGGGCGCAAAGCTCAAATACATGAATGCGATGTGGCAAGCTTTGGCGGAGGTCATGCCCGGGTCCTTCCAGTTGGGGCCTGGCGGCGCAGCCTGAGAAACCAAGATACGCGGCATCATCTACTTTTGCGGCGAAGGAGGCGAGGCGCCACCCTGAAAGTGGCGGATTCAAAGCGCACTGAAGGATCGGGAGTTTGGGCCAAAATCACCACGGCAGGATGGCCACTCGCAAACAAGCTAAATCCATAATGAAAGCGCTGCCCGCCATGGGAGGCAGGCCCTTCGGTGTCAAGCGCGCGGCTGGTCGCGGAATGGGTTGTCTCTGGAAGACGGGCCCCCGCCCCTCGGCGGCGCGCGGCGCCGGGGTATCGGGCTTGAACGGAGTTCCCCAATATGAGGCTGCATGCCGACTGGCTCGCGCGCTGGATGGCCGCCCCCCAAATTGCACGCGGCGACGCAGAGTAGCGCAGAGCATGGCGCTATTTACATGGCCACCTGCGATGTCGCCATGCGTTGCACGGCGTGGACATGGGAGCCCAGGACCTATCCTTCTCGACTGCATCACGCCTGGTCGGCCATAACTACGCCGCTGGTGCGCGACCATTCCTGGGAGAGAGCCGAGGGCTCAATCAGCGCGACTACTCCGAGCTTGCGACGCATTCGCTGGACAACGCATTCACCAACATTCCTTGCCGCAGATCTGGAGCAACACATCGCATTGCTTGCGGCGTCGCCCGTGGGCGCAATTATGCCTCGTTACTGCGCGGCGGCAAAGTGCGAGGATCAAGGGGGGGGGGGGGGTCACGGTTGCCACGTGGGCCACATGGGCGACGCAGCTCAGCGATGGACGCGGCGGCTTCGACGGTGCATTGGTGGCCCAGAGGCTTCCGCGACGGGCGCGAGCGCTGCCTCGCATGGCGGGCATGGGGCCGGGGTGCAGTGGGCGCAGGAGTTGCAACATTATGTCGGATTGTTTGCTTCGCCGATATGCCTCACATGTGGTCTTCAGGGTGAAGCCCCTGGACATCATTCCCTCGGTTGTGAACCGCTGTCGCTGTGGCAGTCGCCGAAGGGGGCGTTGCCCGTTCGCCTGGATGAGACCAAGAACTACGAGTGCGACCGCGGGATCAAGGTCATGAGGAGCCATGCCAGGACGGGTTGGAGACTGGCACTGGGTCGCCGTCGTTGCCCCTCATCGCGGGCCCGGAGAAGGCTGGCAGTACCAGCGCGGCGCGGGGCGACTGGAGCTCCGACTAGCGCGGCCGCAGCAACGTATATTTTCTGACGGGTCAAGCTTCGCGTCGGCGGTGAATGAACTCATGGTGCGCGGATGGGCGTTCGTCGTGATGAGTCGGGCGGGTCTGCCTATCCGTGGGGCCGTGGGCCCGTTGCCTGGCCCAGTGCAGTCTGCGTCGGCAGGGCGGAGGGGCGCGCTGTGCCCACGGCGTTCGAGGGGGCATCGGGTTGCCAGTTCGTGCGCGCGGACCTGCTGGCGGTATGCGACAAGGGTAAGTCTTGGTCAGGAAAACTAGAAGCTGCTGAGGTACTCGCGCTACGATTACAAGGCAGACCAATACGGCTGTTGAAGCTCGACCGTCGCATTTCTGTTGGGTCTCAGCTCGCAAGTCCATTCAGGAGCACGCGGAGTTGGGCGCACCGAAGATCTCCAACGTGGGCGACGCCTGGGCAGATAACTCCATGAGACACAGGGCGTTCGAGCACACGCTGCCCAACGTGCATGACGATACCATCGAGACGGCGTATAAACAACGTCGCAAGGTTGCGCGGCACTTGGCATGGGCGACGCGTCGGATGCTCAACCCTGGCGGTTGGGAACCAGATTCTAAATTTGCGCCTGCGGCTCGCTGCGAGCCAAAGCCGACATTGGCAGCGTGTCTTGTCGCGGCTTTCGTCAGGGCTCTCGTGCTGCCGATATACGCAGGCCAAGGCTGGCCCCACTCCTGCTCAGTTTCTTCGGTCATTGTGTTCGCCCGCCGTGATCGATAGCTTCAGAGATGAAGCTCATGTCAAATAGGGTGTAATATTCTGAGCAGCGACCGAGGGCTTCGTCACATCATGCTGGGACTCTGCGGAGGCGTCTGTGCATGATGGTTATCGACTTCGGCGTGCTGGAACTACTTCATAAGAGCGTTGCGCGTCTTGGTCGCACTCGGGGCATTCACACGCGCTCTACACCAGTTGCTGTGGGCCGACCGCTGGGGAAGGCAGGGCGGCAACGAATGTGTCGAACATCCGAGGACGCCTGCGCAGGCAGATGGCTCCTCGGCATCCGAAGAGCAACGACGTTCCCAAACTACCACAGCGTGCCTGATCGGGAGCGCGTTCGATTCCAGCGGTTTCTGTCACCTCGCGTGCTGGGAACTGCTAGTGTGCGGCCCTGAGTAGGCCAGAGGGGTTTGAGCATCGTTGGCCGCCCGCCGTCCCAAGGCAACGCCCCTCCCCTCGGCCGCCGGGTCATGCCTATGAGGGGTTCGCGTAGCCAGCTGCGCGGGTTAACTATCTTTCCCGCGCTGGTCACCACCACATGGTTGGAGGAGGGGAGTCTTCGGCGAGCTGCTGCCGATGTTTGTTCCAGCTGTATTGCGCCCTGGACTGTGGTGATGTGCGATTCCTCGGGGTGACCTCTCCTTCGCGGGCGTGGCAGACCAGGGCGGCTTGTTGTTCGTCTTGTTCGGCACCGTATGCGTCTGGTCCAGGGGTCGCTTGGCTAGCCTGCTGCCAATCTGGTTGGTACGGGTCTGGGGGAGCTTCCCACGGGTCCGGTCCTTGCCTTCTCCTCTTGGCCGCGTTCCCGGGGCCCTGGACTGCGGCGTAGTGCTGTTCATCGAGGGAGCCCTGTCCTTCGGTGGCGTGTCGGACCACGGCGGCCTGCTGTGCGCCCTTTTCGGCACCGCGTACGTCTGGCACGGTGGTCGCTGGGCTGGGCTGCTGCCAGTCCTGGCTGGCAGGGGGCTGGGGGAGCTCCCTGGGAGAGCTCCCCGCGAGTCCTGGTCCTTTCCTCTTTTTTTCGATGTCAGCCTCGACCTCGACGATGGCCTGGTTCTCGTCGTCGAGTTCGGCGTCCGCGCTCAGGGCTCAGCCGCCGCGGGGCCCCAGCTGCTGCCGGTTCAGGCTGGTAGGTGGCTGGGGAGAGGTCCTCGCGAGTCCTGGTGTGAGCGGAGGCCCCCTTTGGCCACCGCCTCAGCGACCAGGTGCTGCCACCTTCTGCCGCCCCCGACTGTCTGTCCTCAGACGGTTGCGCGCTGCCTCGTGCCCTCGAGCCCCCCTCCTCTGCCTCATCCGTCCTGCTTCCTCCTCCATCCGCTGGAACGCAGAACGACATACTAGTACGTGCTTATGTGACCTCCTCGGAGGCGTGCGCCCGAACTGAACATATAGTATAAGCATATTGTATACGTTTCTCGAGCGGTACGGCCAGAAAGCGTCCGCCACGGAGCTTACTATACTAGAAGGTTTGTCGGCGACATCAGACGACGACGGGAGGGACGACGACGACGACGACGACGACAACGACGATGCCGACAACGACAACGACGCCGACGCCGACGCCGACGCCGACGCCGACGACGACGACGATGCCGACGACGACGACGACGACGACGACGACGGGAGGAACGACGACGACGACGACGATGACGGGAGGGACGACGATAACGACGACGACGAGGACGACGACGACGACGACGACGACGACGGCGACGACGGGAGCGACGACGACGACGACGACGACGACGACGACGACGACGACGACACGGCGACGGCGACGGCAACGGCGACGGCGACAACGACCGACGACGCCCTCGCGCGCGCGCCGGAGCAAGCGCTCTCGGACAGCGGGCTCATGGTTGCCGGCAGGTAGTGGCGGCCGCGGCGGGAGGCAGGGGGGCCTTCGCGCGGGCAAAAGTTCGGCTGCACGCAAGGGTGACCCCAGCTAAGAATGGCTTTTGGTGCGCGGCCTGAGCGGGGGCCCTGTGGGACACCACCGGGCGTACAGGCCGCTACTCTCTCACATCGCGCTCAGCGATCGGGGGGCCCCCCCTTGGGCCCGCACCAAAGAACACTCTGGCGGAAGATCACTCTTATCCAAACATCCGCCGATCTGATTTTTTCAATCCGCGGCCCCAGAGGTCCCGACCCCCTCTCTGGGGTTGCATTTTCGTCCCAGGCCCCTTTTTGATGGTCCCAAGGCCCGAGAAATCCAAGGCAGACCGCCGGATTGAACAAATGACATCCTGGGATCTCTGGGCACGTGTAGCCGAAAAAAAAGCGCAGGGCTCTGCCTGGGCCGTCGGACGGCGCGCCGGGAGTCAAGAGAGCGGGGCTGCGGGCAGCACGGCGGCGGCCGTGGCGGCTGGGCCCTCCCCCCTCCAGGAGGGCGAGGACGACGACGCCCGCGACGTCCACGACGACGGCTGTGGCGGCGGCGATCTTAACGACGACGACAACGATGAAGACGGCGACGGCGGGGGTGGCGAGGAAGGCGAGGTAAGAATAATAAGAGGAGCAGGAGGAGAGGGGAAGGAGGAAGAGATGAAGAGCTCGAGATGGCCAGTTGTTCTCGAAAGGTGGTTCTCGTCTCAGCGCCGCGCGCATTCGTCTTACAAGCTTCCAACAGTTTGACGGGTGCAAGGCAAGTCGCTTTCAAAATGTCGTTCTCGCCTTAGCGCCGCCCGCATTCGTCTTCAAAGCGTTACGCTAGTGGAAACTCTCACTAAAACTTACAAGATGGGGCTGTCGCCCTCGACTTCCTCAACAAAACAACGACCACTACAAACGCAACAGCGTGCAAAAGGTGCACGGATGGAGGCCGGCACGTTGTCAAAATGAGGCTCTCGCACGATTATTCCCCAACAGACATTACGCATATGGCAATCATGGCACTGCCAGAAGGAATGATACATTTTGCCATCGCTCGGACGTCCATTCCACGTGCATGCATCGGCCTTCTGCGTTTTGCGCGATGAGCCAAAATGCTCGTCGATGGTCCTCGCCGTGAAACGCGCACACGTCCGAGCGATGCCAAGAAATAAGGAACGGAGCCCGTGTTGTTCAGAATCAAGCCCTACATCTTCAGGGGACGGCCGGGCCCCTTTTTGGGGGGGCGCGCTCCCTCGTCGATGCCCCTCGGTTTGAGAGTGGCCCCCCTCCCCTCCCGAGGAACGCCGGGGGAGGTCCCTGACAAACTCGCGAGGAACGCGAGCAGACCCAAGGAGCCACCGAGCCCCTTCCAAACCCTAGCTGGACCTCGGTCCAGCGCCATGGCTGTACAGCAGGTGCCGGCTGCACGGATCGAGGCCGGCGCGTTGTCAGAATGGGGCTATCGCCCATTACTTCCTCAACAACTGCCATCGCACGCCTGACACTGTGCAACGCCTGCACGGATGCGGGGCGAGCCTAGTAGGCTGCCGCTGGACACCTCCTCGTGAACTCTAGAACACCGTGCCGCCCGCCTTACACGCAGCTCAAAGACTGGAAAACAATGTCCTTCAAAACGGTGTTCCCGCCGGAGTTGCTGGGCCATGCTGCGCAACGAACACATTTGCACACAGACACCCTTGGACGAGTTTTGCATGTACCTTCAGGAAGGGCGGCGGTATACAAAGTCGCTGGCTCCCAGTGATGATACATATATATAATAAATAATATAATATAGTATAATATAATATAATATAATATAATATAATATAATATAATATAATAAATTATCATATAATATAATATAATAGGATATACATATACATATACATATACATATACATATACACAGACCGCCACACTCTCCTGAGGCTCAGGAGCAATCCATTGGAGGGTGTCTGTGTAAATCTGCCACTGCGCCTCGAGGTACGAAGTGGAGTTACCCCCAGGCTCTCATGCGTTCTCTGTTCCCTGTGCTCAGGACTAGGGGATTGAAATATTGTAGGGGTTGGGGCCCCAGATTCCCGAATTGCCCGGGCGCTCTCGCGCGCCCTCGGGCATCCCCGCATGACTTTTCCAGAGGCCAACGGACCCCAAGACGGGCCAAGAGGGCCCCAAGAAGCGCCCAAGAGGCCCCCAAGACAGTCCAAGAACGCTCCGAGACGCCCACAATGGCCCCAAGACGGCCCACGGGGACCCAAGAAGCCCCAAGAGCGCGCCAAGAGTACCCCCAAGAGGGCCCCAAGAAGCAAATCATGGATGCTCCTTGTGCTTTTTTGATGCGTTTCGCGTTCTTACGTTTTCTGGCTTCCGGCGCTCCAAGACGGCCCCAGAGGCCCCCAAGACCGCCCCAAGACGGCCCAAGAGGCCCCCAAGAGCGCCCCAAGACGGTCCAAGAGGGCCCCAAAACGGCCCAAGAGGCGCCCAAGATCGCTCAAGAGGGCCCACGACGGCCCGAAGAGGGGCCCAAGAGGGGGGATACGAACCGACAATTCGAGCCTTCCACCCCAAGAGGCACCCAGGAGGCCCCAAAAGGCCCCCAAGAGAGCCCAAGAGGCCCTCTAGTGGCCCCACGAGGCCCTCTAGTGGCCCCACGAGCCCTAAAAAGAGGCCCCCAAAGGCCCCCAACCGGCCCCCAAGAGGTATCAAAACTGCCTCCAAGAGGCCCCCACGAGGCCTCCCACGATATCCAAACGAACATCCAAGAGAACTTTCACCCACAACCCAGGCACGGTGGCGGGGTGGGCCTTAGCACACTAAATCGGACATAGGGCGCTCGTCTCTGAAGGTGCAGGGCTTCCCGCAGTGGAAAGATCATGTTGCAGGGCTTATCATGAAGGGGCGCGGGACGAGAGGGTGTATTGCAGCATCCTTGATACATCTTGGCGTTACTGGTTTACTCTGGGGAGCAACAAGTTACCGATACCGCTACTCACCAGACGTATCACGGGCTGCGTTCTGACTAAAAAATCGAGGAGAATCCAGCCAAGGCGACGAGGGCTCTCCGGGACGAGCAGCGGTATCAATATCTTTCCCACCTCCGGTCCTCCTCCTCCTCCTCCTCCTCGTCCTCCTCGTCCTGCCCCTCCCGATCAAACCCCCCCGTGCTTCTGTATGCTCCCGCTCCGCACTCCCGCGCGCTCTCGCCCCTACGCGTCGGGCTGCACGGCTGCGCGGGCGCGGGCGCGGTAGCAGAGGGGAGAAAGCGGCGCTGCGGCCTGCATGCTGTCCCACAGCGGCAGAAATCCGCCGACCCCGCCGAAAGGAGCTTCCAGGCCCGCTGGCAACATACTTTAGCAGTCGGAAAAGAAGATGGCGTTAAATCATTGTCCAGCCTCACCTCATCCTACGCGTCCTCATTGTTTTCGTCGTCGGTCCCTTCATTATTGTCGAATGTATTCCCTGATCGTGCTCGTTAGTGTCTGTGAGATCCCTAAGACCACAACTGTTTCGGAAAAAAGTCTGTGCATGTTGCGTCAATCTTCAAACAATTGCGGTTGCCCCGTGAACCAAATATGGAACGACAGCTCTCTCGGCAAACCGTGTTTATACATTATATGCCACTGAGAATGAGCTGTGAACTGATTATGCACCAGTTTGGGATCATGTGTGGGTCCGCATTGGTACGGTCGTGAATCGGTTGCGTGTTCCATGGATGTCTGCACTGAACTGTGGGCTTGGATGACGGTGCTGCATGGGTCGATGCAAAAATAGATGAAACCATACATGTCATAATTCATGGAGTGCTGGTGTGAACCTATGCCAATCAATCCCTACTTGGCCACGGGCCCTTCCGGGCGTAGGTGCTCGAGCGCGCTTCCTTTTTCAACCCTCCTCCTTCCCCTTTTGGGGAATGGTTTATCACTGTTCCATATTTGTATACACCCCCTGTCCCATGCGACCGGGGGCCAACCAGGCACCATGCCGACACCAGGACCACCAGCCATCCACCATCCCTGTCAAAAAAAACAATACAAACCGCACCCTGCCTACAAATTTGAAGCATGCGCGGCCAACCCGATGCGGACCCCCCCCCACCATCCCCGTCAACAAAACAATGCGAAGCACACTTTGGGGCAAAATCTTGAGTCATGTTCGTAAGGCCCGCGAACACTTCGTATTGTTTTTGACAAGGGCGGCGGGGGTGTCAGCATATTCCCTGCTGCGCGCAGGGCTACCATCCCTGACAAAAAACCAATACAACATGCACCTCGCGGCTAAATCTGGATCATGCGCGGCCACCCCGCGATCACTGTCAAGTGGTTTTTGACAGGGACGGCGGGGGTGGTGGCTCGTGGCCTGCTGTGCGCAAGCCCAGCAGACACAATGTTGGGCATCGGCCTTCAACAAGGATGGCGGGGGCCGACATGTTTCCCGATGTGTGCTGTCACGTGCGCAAGCGCACCTGATGCACTCTGCACGTGCCCCGAACGCGGTGCCCCTCGGGCGTCAGAACTGTGCGGCACACCTGGCGCACTCGGAGCACGTGTCGCATCTGGCGCATCAGGCGTGCCTGGCACGCTCGGGCCCCAGGGGTGCCTGGCGCGCGTGGCGCCCCTGGCACGCGTGGCGCACCTCGCCCAAACGTCGCGCACCTGGGGTCGGCTTTGGTTCCCAGTAGCTGCCCATCCGAAGACGACCGCTGAACATGCTCAGGCTCGGGCGTTAGTTATGTGTAGGGAGGGCGGGCGGGAGTGAGCTAGACAGCTTGCGGGCGGCTGGGTGTCTTGACCCCTACCCCTTACCCCTTTCCCTGGAAGTGGAAGGGTGGGGTCGCAAATCGCTGGGGCGTCCAAGATGGCCCAATATTGCTTTGCGAGGGCCGCAGAGAGCCCAAGGTGACTTCCATGATGGCCCAATCTGGCCCAAGATGGCTCAGCATGGCTCCCGAGATGCTCCACGAGGCCCCAAGACCGCTCAAAGATGGT